GGCTTTAACTGTTATTTCTGACATTATATCCCTAGTTTCATGTTTATACTGTCCATTTTATGATTTTATAAACTTCCCTCACATTTTTTATCAGTTGAATTTTGAAACAAGGAAGTCAGGAACATTTTTCATTCTCTAATATGTCTCTCCTCCTAGTTCAATAAATATTTTTTTGATTGGTTGATTCTCAAACATTGCTCAAATATAAACATTCCTTAGTTTTGCAAAACACCTTGGCTATCAAAAGCAACTCATTTTCTTAACGCTTTGATTTCTGATTATAAGCCCGAGCTAAAGAAATAGGGTCTCACTAAAGCTGAATGACCTTTTCTTTTCCAGAGGAATGGCTGCTTGTTGGAACAAAACAAGGACATCTTCTTCTTTATAGGATTAGAAAGGATGTTGGTAAGTGGCAACTTTCCAGAACCCAGTATGAAGTGGCTTACTGTTCATATAAAAAAAAGTTTTGCTAGTCTGGTATACAGCTGTTCAACCAGTGATTCCTAGACCATTAAAGGAGTGATTGGGATTGGTGGCAGAGCAGTGGGAAAGTGGGGAGAAAGTTGTGAGCATCTCCAGGGTTTTTTTGGTTGTTTGTTCATTTGTTTGTTTTCTAGACTATAATTCCTCATCCCCCTCTGGGAAGTGGAGTTGGGTGTTTTTTCCCTTCTCACTTCTTGGAGACTCATGCCAGAAATAATAAATATTCTTGATGGGAATAAAATTCTCATATAAATGATATGGTAGTAGGAAAAGAAATTAGGAGCCATTGATTATAAAGATCTTGTTAACCTCTAACCTCTAACGGGTAGACTAGGACAGAGAGGACTGGGTTTGAGTCAGGCTTTACTTCTCTTTGGCCATGTGACTGTGACTAGGTCCTTTCCAGTGTCAGTTTCCTCTTCTATAAAATGTCTTACAAAATTGTTTGGTGTCAGATGCAAGGACTTTGAAAACTAGAGCTTTAAGCAAATGTTACTTTGTCAGTAAAAATGTAGAATGATAGCTAAAAGTATTTGAAGTTTGTTCTGTTAGAATATTCTCTAGTGGGAAAAAAAGTCCCTCACTCCCTTTTCCTGATTTTATTTCTGTGCTCTCCTTATGGAAAATTAATGTGTTTAGATATTATATCCTGGAGCTACATAACTATAGAAATGGGCTGTTAATCCCAGAGTAGTTTCAACCATCTGAAATTGTCATTATTTGGCTATATAAGAAAAAACAAAATGTATGGCTTTCAGCAGTAAATAGCTAATCGGTAACTTCCCATAGTAAATGGTACTGATAAAGCCTGCTCTTTGGAACCGGTAGTAAGGGTAACATATTGGGGGAAAAGAGCAGCTCACTGGTGTAAGGAAGGAAGAAAATTCTTTTTTACTCTACCCATTTTAGGTTGATTGAATGGGGACCTGTACATCAGAGAAGCAACAAAACAAAGGAAAAGGACTTTGAGTTTCTAGGGTGGCAAATTACAAGAAGGCAAATGTACTGGGGAACTAATTGTAGATAAGTTTGTTATGTAGGTTCCTTTGGTGCTGATAAAGGTCTCTAAATTGATTCAATGTTGTCCTTGGTAGAGAGGGGAGGGGAGGTACCTTTATAAATTTATGTCTTGCTCTTAGGCAGATGGGGGAGAGGAGAGAACTTTTCTTAGATTTCCTTCTTCTCAGTTACCTTCAATTCAAAATGATCCTTAGGCCAGAGTAGCACATCTGGGGGGCCATATTCTGCTACCCTTCACTGGTGCACTAGGGAAGGAGGAAGGTCAGGTTTTATGGTGAGAAACCAGAAGATGAAAGCAGGGTCTATTTCATTTTTAAGGTTTTCAATTTTCCTTTAAGTCAGAAGTCAGCCAACTTGTTCCAAAAGAAGGACCAAATGTTACCCAAAAACTGGCTTCGCTTCTTGGAGGGTGTCGAGCCAAAAGATACAACCAAGGCAAAGAGTGGGAGAAGGAAGGATTTATTACTTGTGGCAAGTGGGGAGAACACTGGGGATCTTTCTCAAAACAGTTCTCCCTGAACAGCAAAATTGGGGAGGTTTTAAGCTAGACTCCCCATGCATATTCATGAAGGGGCTTAAGCTGTCACAGAGTCCAAGCTTTAGGTGATTGAAGTCACGAGGGTCAGAAAAGGTCAACATCATCATCCCTTAGGTTCCAGTTGATCTGATCTGGTGGTTGAGGGGGTTTTTAATTATGCACAATTAAAAAAATTTTTTTTAAAGTGAGGCTAATCTCTACCATTGAAATGGAACTGGGAGTATTGACACCTAATTTGTTATCTTTGCTTTGTTACTTCTCTTGCCTGATAACAGGTTTGTTCTTTTGTTCCCTGAAGATGTTGTTACTGAGACCTATTCAAGGACGAGCATTTGTGGCCAGGCTTGGACCACAAAATGGCTTACACTCAAAGTGGCTTCTTTTGTGCCAAAAAAGCCATGCCTGACTCTTTCTCCAGGGACCCCCTACCTTATCACTTACACACATAGTAAATATTTTAGGCTTTGCAGGTCGTAAAATCTCTGTCATGACTATTCTACTCTGCAACTGTAGCAAAAAAACCACCATAGACAATATGTAAATGAATGGATGTGGCTGTGTTCCAATAAAGCTTTATTTACAAAAAACATGTGGAAGGCTGAATTTGACCAACAGGTGATACTTTGCTGGCCATTGCTTTAAATTTTTAGTTTTCAGAGCCAAAATATTTGTATTCTGTGACATCAACCCAGTCTGTAATTTAAAAATTAAGCCTTCCTTGGATTTTATTCAGCATTCCATAACTGTTTTAACTGTCTGCTTTGGGCCCAGATGATGTGTAAGACAGGGAGATAAGAGAGCCTAATATTCTTATCCCAATAATCGGTTCTTTGTGACATCAAATGCTAACTACTATAATAAAGTAACTTGTTTAGCATACCACTTTTGTAGGCTTCAGTCTACTCGTATCTTAGAGAAGCGTTAGATTACTTCTCATCTAAGGTCTTGACAACTTTATGTTTACTTCAGCAATGCCCTACCCTAGATCAATGGTTCTCAAAGTATGATCTTGTGAACGAAAATATCACCTGCTGTATCAGTAAACAGCCACTGCAATACCCTGACCATGCACCTGAGGGGATTCAGGGTGGAGAAAAACAGGACACTGGCCCTAGATAAGGTATTTATCAAAGGAATGGTTTCAATCAGCCCAGACTCTTACATCTTCCCATACATAGAAAATCGCTAAATTCATTTACTTGGGGTGTCTGTTTTTCTTAAATAGCAGTAATCTTTTGTAGTTCCACTACCTGTTTTTTTGTTTGTTTGAACTCCTATATACCCTGGCTCCTCCCTTACCTCTGATGTAGTCCTTTAGAGCTGTCCGAGAGGCTGCCTCCCAGGCGCAAGTCCTCAGCAAGTCCTCAGAATACAACATAATTCTCTACTTTAAGGTTGTGCTTTTTTTTTTTTTTCAGTAGACAGTTTTGAGATCCCAGGAAGTCCCCAAGATCTTTCAGAGGATCCACAACGTCGAAACGAACTTCACAGTAACACTAAATCATTATTGCTTTTTCACTGACATGTAAAATAAAGTAGCTAAAACTATTGTCGCTTAGCACAAGTTCAAGACAATGGTCAGCAAACTTACTGGCTCCACACTGTACTAGCAGTCTGTTTTTGCCCAGTGTGTACTCACAGTGCTTTTGTTTTTTAAAGCCAGTTTCACTTAAGAATGTTCTTAAGGCAGTTTTATTGTGAGGCAGTAAAAAGTATTAATTTTATTATATCTAGACCTTTGAAAACACCTCTTTTAAATAATCTCTGTGATACAATGGCAGTACACAAACCACTTCTGCCGTGTGCAGGATTCAAAGCACAGTGGCTACGTCTCCGAGAAGTACTCCTGTGATTGAGTTATGAGCTGAACTGACCACTTATTTCATAGAGCATCATTTTTGCTGGTTTTCAGACCATTTGACTGTTCCATAGATGTCTTCTTAAAAATGAACAAAGAGAGCCTGTCGCTTTGAAGATTACAACTGGCAGTATTTGTTACTAACGATAAAGGCACAGCTTTGAAGGGAAAATTAGAATTGTGGAAAAATTGCATCCACTCCCAGGAGCTTGACAGCTTCTCAGTACTTAATGATTTTTCTCATGAGATTGGGGTGATAATGAGAATGATTTTTTTTTAAGTTCTATAACAAAATGTGTCAGCATTTGGAAAATCTGCATAACTATATGAACCAGTATTTTCCAATGCATGAAGTTTCTAAATCAAGCATGGATGAAAGATCCATTCAAAGTGTAAAGTAGACCAATGGACTTTAATTTAACAGAAAAGTTCATTAATATGTTTCAGATTCCAGATTGCAAGAAATTCCATTTGTCAGGTTTTGGTATAGCATCAAAGAAGATCCACAATTATATGAAAAAGCTATTAAACTCTTCCTCCCTTTTCCAGCTGAATGTCTGTGTGAGGACAAATTTTTGTCATACGCTTCAACCAAACAACCTGTCAAAACAGATTAAATGCAGAAGCAGATGTGAGGTTCAGCTGTCTTCTGTTAAGCCAGGCATTAGCAATTTACAAAAATATAAAAGTACTTTTTTTTTAATTTGGGAAGATAGTTATTATTCATAAAAATATGTTATTTATGCTAACATGGAATGAGCTAATTACTATTAGGTTTAAATCAGTTAATGCATGTTTTTAAAATTCCTCAGTTTTAATTTCTAAAATGGTAAACATTGGTAGCTATAATCCATGTAAAAGTATTGGTCCTCAGAAATTTTTAAGGTTATGAAGGGGTCCTGAGACCAAAAAGTATAAGAATCTCTACCCTAGATAATTCTGCTTACAAAGAGAATTGTGGAGAAATGCGTTTAGCATGCATGAGGTCCTGGGTTCAATCCCCTGTACGTCCGTTAAAAAAGAAATAAACCTAATTACTCACCCCCTCCAGCAAAAAAGCAACAAAAACAAAAAGAGAATTGTTAGAGGTAATAAAGTCCTTTTCAAATACAGAACTCTTTATCAAGTAGTAATGACTAATTTTTTTTTCTTGTGAGATATAATGGTATAATACAGGGCAGGTTTCTGAATCTCCCACTGCTTCAGGGTCCTGTCTCCATCGCATCTGAGTGACAAGGGGAGGAAGTAAGAGCAGCTTCGGTGGCATGGGCCCTTGTGGCTGCCGCAAAGGATCTCCAGCATCATACCTGGGGCAGGGAGGGGCACCACTAGCTGTGGGCAACATCCCACGGTCAGCGGTGTGGGCAGTGTCTCCCTGAGCTGGGAGGCAGGTAGCAGGGTGTGGGCTCAGCACACAGGCTTGATGGAGTTGGCCTCTGGGCTCTCTCACTGGCTGCTGGACCCGTCAGGTCTGTCAGCTATGAAAGTGGAATAATAATACCTACTTCTTGGGGTGGTTGTGAGGTTGCAGAAGATATATATAACAGAACCCGGCACTTAGTTACTGCTCAGTTAATGATGCTGTTATTACTATGGTAATTATTCTCTTTGACTCTTTGGTGACTTTTGATGCTAAATATTTTTGTCCAGCAAGACTGGCTTCACCTGTTTTTATGGTCTATAACCTTCTTCCCCTTCTTTGTAACAGTGTCAGCAGATGTAGCATCACCTGAGAGTGGCAGTAAGTGTAGCTGCATTAAATTGCTTTAGCTCTGGCGATGGTGTTGAGTGTTTGCCCTGTCCTGTGATGCAGGACATAGGGTAGCTGCTGGGATTTAGTCAGTCTGTCTAGATCTAAGGATGCTTTCAGCTGGGTTTCATTGCTTGGGGTCCTATATTTGACTGTTACTTTTCACACTCTTCTTCTGTGAATACCTTGCCAAGGTACTATTCTGTAGGATAAAGTCCTCACCAGTACCTTGCAGCTTCGGTAAACTTCTGTGGTGTGGTCCTTTATGCTAATGCCGAGTGAAGGTGCATGAAACCCTCTGTTCTAAAGTTGGAATTGAAAGCAACTTACTGTACTCAGTAAAGACAGCTGGGTACTTTAGATTTCCAGCTTATAGTCTTTTAGGAATTCTTTAGATTCATGTAGGAGAGCCATATGGAGCAGCATTTTTTTGTTGTAGTTATTTTTTTATAAATTCCTGTGTTTGGAAATGTAACTGCTTGTTTCTTTCCCATAGGTTGCAACAGGTTTGAAGTGACACTAGAGAAATCCAATAAGAACTTCTCCAAAAAGATTCAGCAGGTAGGCAGTGATGGTGGCCTCTACAAGAATATTTGACTTTTATGAGCCCCCATCAAAGCCAATAACTTTGGTAACGTTATTTATTTATCTTTGACTCCTCTGCTCTCTGCCTCCCATTTATGCAGGATCTCTGTCCACCCATCACATACCTAAGAGCCTCTTTCATGAGCACATAAATATAAGTCAGATCCCTGTCACTGACATAGGCTTTTAGTCCCTTTTTAGTATTGTAGGTAAATGGATGTTGGCTAAACCTTGTCAGAAGTGTTTGAGTCTAATGATTTGCTATTTTTCAGATCCATGTGGTTTCCCAGTTTAAGATCCTGGTCAGCTTGTTAGGTAAGAAAAGAGGTTGCATTTGTATTTCATATGTCAAAAAGCAAAAGCTATGACCTGATTAACCCTGTAACGGTTAAGTTGATAGTTGTTACTTAACAATGTAACTGACAGATTCCAAACCAGGTACAGCAGGGTACACAGGTAAAAAAGGCACCAGCATCCCCCATAAACTTGAGCTCTGTTTTCCAAGAAGTATCACCTCATTCATTCATTCATTCATTCAATAATTGAGCCAATATCTCGAGCTCTACTCTACACACTGGGGATACCAAGTTGAATGAGACAAGGTTTCTGTCTTTGAAACTTAGGTTCTGATTGTGAAGACCAAAATGACAGAAAGTAATCATGTTAACAGTGTAATAAGTTACAATGGAAATTTATAAAAAGTGTTGTGGGATCTTAGTAGTGAGAGGGACGACATTGTCTAGTGGATGACTAGGATTTCAGAGGGAAGAGAGAGGTAGGCAGAGCATTGTAGGCAGCGGGACCAGCCTCAGCAAAGGCCCTGAGACCTGGCCAGACTTAGGATATGTGGGGGAGAGTGGCGAGAGACTGGTGAGAGACAGATCACGGCCACACTATTTAGGACCTGTTTGTTTTGTTTTGTTTTGTCTTAAAGGTAGCTATACTAGAAAACTGTGATCATTTATAGTGGTGTTTTATCTCCTTCCAAACAGAAAATAATATTTATGTCCATGACCTGTTGACATTTCAACAAATCACTACGGTTTCTAAGGCAAAGGGAGCATCTCTGTTCACATGTGACCTCCAGGTAAGTGTGGGCAAGGTGAAATCTGACTTTGTGCTTTGATCTACATCTTTCCTACCATTAGATGGGAAGGATAAGATTGATATCCAGACTCAGCAGAGACTCTGAAGAGAGTATTTGATTTTAGATTGTATCAGAGAAGTTTCCCCCTTAGTGTATGACCTGAAGTTGAAGCACTTGCATTTTGTGTGTGTGTGCTAATTAGAGCACCGGACAGCCGTCTTTCAGGAGGCAGCTAACCAAAGATGGAAGCCCTTGCCGTGGACAAACCGTTAGTGGGAAATCGAGACTGTTAACAGTACGTGAACACAGCAATAGGACATTAAACCGACTCTTGTTCTAAACATGTCATTGTGGTCTTTGTCTTTAGGGAGTTTTCCTATTCAGAAAAGACATTTCTCCTGATTTTTGCCAATTCATCATCCTTCAAGATCTACCCCACCCCTCTGCTCAGCTTTGATCCCTTTTTCATATTTGTGGTCTACATTGACGCTGCATCGGTTGGGCACTTTCTGTCCCCCCACTCCTTTAAAGCATTAAACGTGGGCTTGCTGTCACTGACACAGGCTGATCCCTGACCCTGCATGTATTGACAGCCATGAACAAGAAACATTTAAGAAAAAAGGGAGGAAGCAGTTATGTAAGTTCTTCTGTCTGAATTACAAACGTCCATGGGATTGCTGGGGCCGGGGCCTCTGACTGGCCTGCTCGGCCTCTTGTTTCTGAGTACATCTTAGAGAGTGGTGTACTTGGACTCAGCTTGTCTGGCAGTGTGACTTTGTATTGCAGGGGGTGTTCAGATCAGTGGCCATTTCAAGGTAGAACATCCCTAATTCACTTGTCACTCAGTTACGGCGTCATCATATGCACATCCTCATTCGCTCTGGGCGTCTCTTCCCAGCACGCAGAGACTGGTGAGGAGGTGTTGCGGATGTGTGTTGCTGTGAAAAAGAAGCTGCAGCTCTATTTCTGGAAAGACAGGGAATTTCACGAATTGCAGGTAAAGTCCACTGTTACCTGGTCCATGGGTTGGGTGGGAGCTGCTGCTAAGTTGACCTGCAGCTTGAAAGACTTCCTTTCAGTTCTTGTGAAGCTCAGGACCCCAGTCTTGGAGTTCTTCCCAGATGAATGCTCTGCTTGAGTACCTGAGGGTTATCCATGCCCACCTGTCAAGGTGTCCGGGCCTTCAGAGGCAGGGGTGACACAATTCTACATCTGTACAGGTTGATTTATATCAAAGAGGGTTTCCACCTTTTATGAATGCACCTTGTCCAGTTCACAGGTGACTTAACATTTTTATAATGGGTGGCTTCCTGGCCTTGTGCTAATAGGATTATATTAAGATGAGGGTGAGGGTGATTTTACAGAGTTGGGGTAGAATAACAGGAAGATCTTTTTGTTTTTGCCTTAACATCTTTCCAGCTGAACTCTTGTTCTCTTTCTTCAGGGGGACTTTAGTGTACCAGATGTACCCAAATCCATGGCATGGTGTGAGAACTCTATCTGTGTGGGTTTCAAGAGAGACTACTACCTAATAAGGGTAAAACTTACTATTTTGCAAATGTCATCTTGGGGAAGATGATTATGAATTTATCTGGGGAGATGATAATGTGCTTCTGAACTGCAGGTCAAGAGCATTATCATGGGCTGCTGTCTTGAGACTTCAGTGCTCAGGAATTATATACTAATTGTGATATTAAGACTTTGAGTTTCCTGCCCCTCAAAATCTTAGTATATCCTTATAAAAAATTATTATTATTATTACTTTAATGGAGGTACTGGGGATTGAACCCAGGACCTTGTGCCTGCAAAGCATGTGCTCTACCATTGAGCTATACCCAGCCCCCTGTTTTTTTAATTTCAAAAGCTATTTATTTTATTATAGAAAATATAGATAAGGAAAATAAAAGAAGTGCAAGTCATCCATAAACCCCCCCACTCAGAAGTTATCACTGTTAACTTGTTGCTGATGGACTTCTGCCCTGTTTACAAAAATATCATATTTTGTAACTGGCTTTTTTTCTCCTAACCTAAGTGGGAAATATCCATGACATTGGGTTTTTTCCCTACAGTGTGCATACTGTATTTAGAAAAGGTTGGTATGCTATTCATTTTATAAAATAGTATAAATTTCTTAGCTTCATACACCTTTCATGATCCCCAGACTTGGCATTTCTAGAAGTTTTTCTCCCCACCTCCCACCTCCCTGCTGTGTTACCTGTTTATTGTTTAACTAGTTAATATATTTGTTCTATAATTATATTCTTGGGGTAGCCTAATTTGATCAGCATCTACATTGTGATTACAAAATTTATCCTAACAAACTCAGTATTTCTTTATGCCAGACAGGGAATATTATTGGCTTCTGTAGGTTTAGGGTTTTAATTTGATTTTTCAGACCATCTATTCATGCCTGTGGCTGGAGAATGCTGGGTGACTTACTTTGTGTCTTCCTGTAGGTGGATGGAAAGGGGTCCATCAAAGAGCTCTTTCCAACAGGAAAACAGCTGGAACCCTTGGTTGCCCCTCTGGCAGATGGAAAAGTAGCCGTAGGTCAGGATGATCTCACCGTGGTGCTCAATGAGGAGGGGGTCTGCACGCAGAAGTGTGCCCTGAACTGGACAGACATCCCGGTGGCCATGGGTGAGACCGCCATAGCTGCTGCTTCCCACTTTGGGCAGGGGTTGTGCAGCCCCCGTGGCAGAACGGAACCCCATTCTTAGCTTTTGCAGACTGCAGATACACTGTCGTCCGCTTTGTTTCTCTTCTTGTAAATAGATGAGTGTTTGAGGGTCATTAAAAATGGGATATTCTGGTTTTTGTAGGAAGTTAGGTTTCGTCCCAGAGGGGAAGAAATATAAACAGAACTGTACATTTTAGGAAGTGATTGTCTACTGCTGTTTTTACCTCTTAGTTCCTTTTCTTTTACCTCCTTTTAAATGGGTCTGTTGTGTCCTCTGCCAAATAGACTACATTTGGAAATTAGTGGAAATTCTTTGGTTGGTCCTCTAATACCTGTAACTCAGCATCAGAAGGTTTGTGATGTGGTGGTTGTCGCTGCTCTTGTTTTTGTAGCTTAGCAGCACAGACTGCATTCACGTGTCAGTCTCTGTCCTACCGGTTAGCTGTTTCTGCTCCTCCGCCTGCCACAGGCTCTCAGCTCTCTGCGATGGTATTGCCTGGGAGTGTGTGAGCACGCTCGCAGCAATTCATTTTCAATTGGAAGAGTGAGCATTTTATAATAGTTACTGCTGTGGAGGGGGCTGCAGGCATGCTGTCTTTAAGGGCCGTAGCTTGGGAGACGAGGATTACATCTTGGAAAAAGAGGTGAAACAAGGCACTGCTTAAGGTGTTAAATCAGAAGAGTTGAGATTTTCTAGTTTAGAAAGGGGAATTTCATTGTTCAATACATCAGTAAGAAGTTTCATTAAGATTGGACTAGATCAGGCAGGGAATTTAGGATCTGGCTTGAAGAAAAATTTCTTTCTTTCTAGGCAGAAAGAATAGTTGAACAGTGAGCAGAAATGTGGAAGACATGCTGATTGTGAGAGGGCAGGCGTTCCAGAGACTGACCTGGCTGAAACAGGCGGTGTGGATAATGGAGGAATACGGGCAGGGTCGGTTGTTAGAGGCCCATGTGAAGGTCTGAGAGGCCAGCAGATCCTAAGTGGTAAAATTGATGAAAGCATCATGTTCTAGGGGTGATTATTCTGGTGGTGTTTAGAGATGAACAGACCAGAAGGAAAATAAATCAAAATGACCGTATTTTACACCACTCAAGATGATGTGTATTAACAGGTTTGGGGAAGCTAAGAGCTTCACAAGAGGCTTCATGATGTTCTAGGGACCCTTGTTTTCCCTTCGGAAGAGGAACTGCAGCAGATGAGGTGAAGATGCGGGGCACTGGAAGTAGCTTTCTGATTCCCCAGCGTTAGAGTTCCTGTTTTAAAAGCTTTGCGAGTGCCCAGCACCTTTGGCCACATTTCCCCAAAACATTTCTGTGCCTTAACATACTGAGGGAGAGGAAGTTCTTTCTGAGGCGGGTGGGAGAATCACCGTCTGACAGGAAGAAGCCTAAACTTCTTAGGATGGGTCACCTTTTAAACTTGGTTGATGTTTCTGCTCCCCTCGTCACTCCTTCAGCCAGGTGCCCATCATTTGCAAAGGACCCCTCATCACTGTGCCTTCGTCAGTGCTGTTGCCTTTTCCTTTCTTTGCCCAGCAGTGTCCTGCTTGAGTGACAAGGCCCCGTTCAGTGGCACTTCCTCTCTGAAGTCTCCTCTGACCTGCAGGCAGGATTAGTCACTTCCCCCTGGTGCTTCCACTGCCCTTTCAGGTTTCTCCGTCATGGCAGTTGCACTGTCCCACTGGCTGTGGTGCATTGTCAGTCCCCCCTCCTCGTGTAGGAGCTCCAGGAGCTCTGGACTCCAGTTTTGGTCCACGTTGAGCAGTGCCTGAAACATCATAGCCTCCTAGTAAGTGCTTGCTGAGTAGTCAATCACGGTCACTGTCAGCCATTTATTGGCCACACTGCCAAGTTTGAAGACACAGAGACCCAGACCATCTCTGTTGTCAAAGAGCTGGGGAGACTGAACAAATGATAAGATGTGGCCACCAAGAAGGCTTTCTATTCTAGATTACTTCTTTTATTAAGTGAGATCTTATGAAAATGGGCCAGATTAAAAAGGACAGAGGAATTTTATGTATTTATACAAATTAACAGGAAAGAAAATTGGAATAGCTTTTCAAAATGAGGCCAGCATAAAAAGAAAAGAATCCAATACGAAACAACATGCTGCTTAATTTTAATTTTTGGTAAAATGAAAAATACCACCATAATAACAATTAACAGCATTCAAATTGATGAAAGTATCTTTAGGCCTCATTTCCTCATTTCTGAGTTCCCTTCTGGCTTTGAAATTTTATCAGATTATTCATTTAGAATATAAATATTGCAGATATAATATGGAAAACTTTATCAGAAAATAAATAACAAGGAAAATAAATTTATAGCAAGTTAGCCACACTAAGAAACTATTCTTATGAATATATTCTTTGAGGTTAAATTTTTATATGGTAATTATGCCATCTAGTGGTTCATTTTTTACTAATTTTTTTTTACCTTTTAAAAAATTTTATTTTTAATTGTCATAAAAAAACACGTAACATAAAATCTGTCACCTTAACCATTTGTAAGTGTATAGTTCAGTAGTGTTATGTATATTCACATTGTCGTGCAGCAGATTTCAGAACTTTTTAATTTTGCCAAACAAACTCTAACCTATTCAACAACCCATTTTCCCCTCCCCCTAGCCCTTGGCAGCCACCATTCTACTTTCTGTGTCTATGAATCTGACACTCTAGATATCACATATAAGTGGTAAAAAATGGCTACACTGAGAATGCCATCCAGCTGCCTTCTCTGTGAACTGTGGAGCATCAGGTGGAGCTTTGCATCTTTTCTCTGTGAAAATCTCAAGCAGAAACAGCCTTGGCCAGATGTGTGGATCTCTTTCTTTAGCATAAGTTTTGGGGAAAAAAGAAGTTGCCCTCCTCTTGCCCTTCCTAAAGGAATGAAAGAAGTTATGTGACCTTGCTCTCCCACTGACGTGTTGTTCGGGGCAGCCGCAGGAGGCCTTTGGCCTGGCTCTGTGACTGATGAGAAAGGAGCCAGTAACGCTTTCACCCAGTTCTTGCAGGGAAACAGTAGGAGTGAAATCAGGTCCCTCTGAGCAAAGCTGGATGCTTCCTTTCTGTGCAAGAGATTTCTCTGAGCATCACTGAGACAAACATTTTTTTTCTTTGTATATCACAGTGTAGGATCCTGGCTTGGTATTTGACTAGTGGACTATTTGGAGATCCAAAATGCAGCTTAGAAATGAGAAGCTGAAACAGTCCATAAACCTAAAGCCTTAGACCAGAACCGCAACTCAAGATGTTCTCTCTTGCACAGAGCACCAGCCTCCCTACATCATTGCAGTGTTGCCTCGATACGTGGAGATCCGAACATTTGAGCCAAGGCTTCTGGTCCAGAGCATTGAATTGCAGAGGCCTCGTTTCATTACCTCGGGAGGGTAAGGGATTGTTTTCTTTACTGTAGCTGCCATATTATTCCAAAACTCTAAAGTCATCTGTGTCGTCATGAAGCCCGTCCTCTTTTGCTAATCCTCTTACTCCTGTCTCCAGATCAAACATTATCTATGTGGCCAGCAACCATTTTGTTTGGAGACTCATTCCAGTCCCCATGGCAACCCAAATCCAGCAGCTTCTCCAGGACAAGCAGTTTGAATTGGCTCTGCAGCTTGCAGTAAGTCTTGTGTTTGAGATCCGGGAGTAAATTTGCCTTCCTCATTATTCTCCAAAGCAGGTGATTTGGGTTTAGACATTCATATTTAGTTCCGACTGGAGGAGTAAGCACAGAGCTGAAAGTCAGGGGGCTTGGATTCTGGATCTGACCCTGCCATAAAATATCTGTGTCACTCTTAAGTGATTTCCCTTTCTCAGTTTGCTTGTCTGTCAAATGTAGAATGAGTGCCAGTTATAATAATAATATTTCATAGAATTAATAGGACAATAAAATAATTGAATAGATATAGTATGACTTGGAAAAATGAAAGACAATACAGACATTAAAATGACAATCATAAATGTCAAGATTACAGTTTGTTGAATGCACCAACTTAAGGGCTTTCCAAAATCCCTTTCCCCAGTAGGCTCCTGTGCTTGGAAAAGCAGGCCTTCTTTAGGTATTCTGAACCCACCTTAAGCTCTGCTGCAGTCAGCAGGGCTGCTCTCTTACGACTGTCACTCTCCTTGAACATTTGCATGGGGTGTTACTTACAGCAAAGTAGTGACCATGCTCTTTTTCAGTGATGCTTCCATTGCCAACACACTTCTTGGAGATTGACTTGAGTCCTGTCTTGGTCTTCTAAACATCCCCCGTGGTGATTACTGTCACCTGTAAAGGGTGGATTTGATTTTACGAAACAAGTCATTCCGAGCCTCACTTAGTCATTAAACCAGACACTGCTAATTTGGTAAAAGAGATTTTTATGAAGATAATAGTAGGAAAAGTTTTTAGAGTATCTTATAAATTATTTCTGAAAGAAAAACAGTGGTCACAAATTCTAGAATACAAATGTTTATAATCATATATGGTAGAAACTTTCAAAGAGCAACGTGTATTTTAGATGTATAAGTTCTAGATTTGGAATAAAAATCCAGTCTTTATTTTTTTTAATTTTTTTTTTAATTTTGAGGGGAGGGTAATTAGGCTTTTGTTATTTGTTTATTTTAATGGAGGTTCTTGGGATTGAAGCCAGGACCTCTTGCATGCTAAGTATGCACTCTATCACTGAGCTGTACCCTCTCCCCCCAAATCCAGTCTTAATGGTTAGACACATTTAATCTCCCATAAAGATTGTTTCTTTCTTGGGGCATTAAATTTCAGCATCTTACTTTTCCCCCCACTCATCTGTTGCTCTAAATTATTTTATTTTCATTTTAAAAATAATGAATCCCCATGAACCCACCTCCTGCCCCCCAAAATAACTTATATAGCCTCCATGTTCCTCCCCATCCTATCCCTCTGCCTACCCTCCAGACACAGCCATTACCCTAACTGTTGTGTTTATCATGCCCTTCAAAAATTTTTGTTGAATCTTTTACATATATTTGTGTACTTGAATATGTATGTAGTTTTTGAACTTTATAAAAAGAGTAGTAGTAGCACATAGCTTTTTTAGTATTTTTTTTCTTAACAGGAAGGTCTTGGGTCTTTTCAGGGATCCCCCTCCTGTAGGTTGTCTCTTTTAATCATCTGTAAGGAAGATGGAAGTGGGTTTCCATTTTCCCTTCTCTTTCTATGCTTGTACTCACCAGGTATTCTGCTCTGTGTTGAAAGAAGCTTGCTTGATATCATCTTAGCTCTTCAGGGACCTATCTTTTATTTAAATAAATCAGAGAACATACATGAAACTTTCAGAGGGCAATTCCCTACTAAACTTTGGAATTGGGCTGGAAAAGACATCCTAAGGTTGGACCCTTTAAGTGTAAATAAGAGCAGGAGCAGGAAATGGGGAGAGTTACAGAGCTCGATGAAGTTAAGTGAAAACAAGTGTGGAGACAAGTATTTCCAGGACGCTTGGAGCCCATCTTGACTGGCATGGAGGGTGTGGCTTGAACGTCTGGGAATAACCCAGATCAGAAGGCCAGGCTCTGAGAGCCTATAAAGCACCAAGCAGGAGAACTTAGCCCAGGTGCGACCGTGTGCTGGTGATGGTCCAGACTAGGGTGACAGCAATGGAAAAGGAAAAGAAAGGAAGGGAAAACACTGAGAGACATTTTGAAGGAAGAAATTAAATGTGGTAAAGATTGGCATAAAAAGATGTTAAGGGGGAAAAATAGTTAAAGGAAGAAACAGAGATAATAAGTAGCTGTATTAATTTGGCTTTTAATATCAACAGGACCTTTCTCAACTGTGCCAGCTATGTGAAATGTCTTCATTTCTTGAGCACACCGTGCTCTCTCGCTGCCATTTTAGGGCCTGGCACATGTGCTGGCCTCTGGGCCCCTCCTGTCTGTCCCCTGCCGGGACAGGCTAACTCCAGCTCATCCTTTGTGTCTCAGTTTACATTCCTCCTGGAAGCCTTTCTGGACCCACCATTCAGACTAGACTGAATACCCCCACCATGTACTTCTGTCACCACTCACCCTGTTCTGTTGTGATTTTTTTGTTTTTAAACTAAACTCTAGACTTGATTCGGATTTCGCCAGTTTTCCCATTAATGTGCATTTTTCTGTTTCAAGTTCAAATCCAGAAATCACATTGTATTTAGCTGTCACAAATCCTTAATCTGTGTCTGTGACAGTGTCTTAATCTTAACTTGTTTTTCATGACCTTGACAGTTTTCAGGAGTACTGGTCAGGTATTTTGTAGAAAGCTTGTTGTATTTTAATTGTTACTTATCAATCCTATGATTAGAATGTAAGGGTAGTCTGTGAGGGCAGACGCCATGTGACTGCTTTGCACACTTTGGTACATGCATGTCCTCGGATATTGTCTGAAACCTAATATATACTGAATAAATATTTATTGAGTGAGTGAGCTTCTACCTGTTTTGCTCTTTTATTAGGAAATGAAA